CACCAATCATTTTTTAACATTTTGATGCATGTCTATGATCCCGCTGGAGGAACAGAAAAGTTTACTGGCCCTCAATTTTCCGATGATGAATGGAACACTCTAAATGTGCGATTTCTGTATGAGGTATAGTTCATTTTAAGCAATTCTAGTAAATGGGTGTCACTGATTAGGACAAATAGTCTACTTGTGCAATAGCACAAATGGTATGTCTCATTCTTCTGGCCTCCTTTGAGACAGAAAAGAAAGGGGACAACAATGACCCTGATAAACCTGGAATTGCTACTGTTTAAAAAAGAGCTATTATATAATATACATTATCCAACACACTATTGACTTGATGCTACTAAATCATTTCTGTATGTTTAGCACTGCCCTATTAATTAGAAATGTATGTCATGCTGAAAAACCTTTATACAAAAAGACAGTTCACCAGAATCCCTTCCCCTCTGACTTATTGTTTTCAGAAAAATATGTTTTACTCCAGGCCAATAAAGCAGTTTAACACATTAACAGACACTTTCTGGGTCTGACTCTTGAACACTAAACTTTGACTGACTTAGGGAGACCCAGACTGAAGAAAGGGCAAGAATATTTGTTCTAGCTTGATTTTTTTCAGCTTGCTAACAACTGATACTGACACAAGGTCCGATCAATAAATAACCAATACTGTAATAACAGTGACTGTAAGTTGCTTCAGGACAACAGCACTTAAAAGAAAAAAAAGGAATGCAATATATATGAATTAGAAATGCTGAGGATTTCATTAAAATGAATGTAACTGTGCTTTTCTTTTTTTTTTTTTTAAGGCTTTCCAATAAAACCATGGATCCGTTCTATATATTTTTAGCCTTCGTTTCGCAAAGTCACCAGATTTCGTCCTTCAGAACAATAATTGAATATGTACAAGAAATAATCAGGTGATTTAAATTTAACTAAGGCGTTCACGTGGAGTTTAGCATAGTAAAAATAGTATGATTTGTGGGAGGCAATTAACAATCATTTGCTCTGTGGATACAAGTAATTTGTTTAAAGAGCACTGACCTATGAGACAGCTAGTTTGTGTTGGCTGTGATGGAAGGGAGCTATTGACTCTAAACAGTGTAACAGCGCCATTGACAGAATCGCATTTGAATGCACACAAAAGATCTCCAAAATACTTGAGGAACATGAGATCTTTCAGATGGGGAAGTGGGGTGGGGGTGAGCCGAGGAAAGCAGCCAACACTGAGGTCTCCACACCGTGGGGAAAACGAGCCAAACCGAGAAATCTGGACAATGTAGTGAGTAAAGGAGGGCTTCCCCCCCTTGGTGCCGTGCCAGCCCGGCCGTCCTCCCCGCCATAAATACTCCATCAGGAGGAACACAAACCCTGAGCGATTGCTGCTTGAGTAATGGTTTCATAAGCTTAAAATTGAATGCAAGTCTTTGTGCAAAAGAATCATTCTTATGTTCACGTCCAGCAAATGCATTGCAGGCCTGGGAATGGGTCCATGTATTCAACATTCACGCGTTCCCCGCCTCTGCTGGGGACATGTTGGCAGCCGAGTGCCAACGCCTCGTGCAGCAACCAGGTCCAGTCCACTGCAAAGGGTCTCCTGTCTCCTGACAATCTGGGGCATTTCCTCCACTGAGCCAAAAAGAGCTGCCTAAAAGGGGCCATGCAACAAAAACCTCAGGGTGGAAGCAGCCACCGTGAGAGGTTCCAAGTGCCACAAATCATTCTTTGAGACTATTTTAATGTACTCTAGGTCAGGCTGTGCATCCTTTATTTGCCAGGGAATCATTATGCAAAATATAGACTTAGAGAAAACAGTGGCACAAACACACTGTAAACACAGTCCTGCCGCTCAGCTGAGAGCAAACCAACAGGATCTGCACAGCTTAAAATATGTGTGTAAAGGCGCAATTTTATCTGTAACATAATTTCATTTCGAAGCATACAAATCACAATTTGCCATAATCAAATAAGGCTGCAGTGCTTATATTCTAACTAAAAAATAATCTCTGATATTTAATTTAGGAACCTGGAAGACTTTACCAGCAAAATTATGGCTACAACCTGCACCAACCGCTCGATTTACCCACAGACAGCAAATTTTTCAGGTAGTACTTTTAAAATTATTATTAAACAAGCAAATGCCGCACCGCTCAATATGTATTAAAACAAGTATTGTACCCAGTTATTAATTTGCACTATTCACTTTTAAATGCAGCAAATACCTCATTAATTTAATTTTAGGTGCCCACCAGTTTATATTGCATTTTACAGTCTAGAAGGCAATTTACTATTAACTGGCAATTACATACAGAATGATTGTTAATTCTGCTCCTAAGTGCTAGCTGCTTGAAAATTGTTATCTCTCTCTAATTTTTGACCTTCTTACAACAGGGGTGAGGTACGCTGGGAATACAAAGGACTAGTAGAGAAGAGCTGGACATGTCATTTGTGACTCATTCTTTTAATTCACCGTGCTAATCAACTGAACTGCCACAATCTCCCAAGGTAATTGTATCTTTATAATAGTTGAAAGCAGCGGGCAAAAAGGCATGGATAGATGGGGAAAGGCCTTGGCTTTGCCTGCTGGGAGATGCCGCGCTCCTGCCTCTGCGACAGGCTGTTGGGGGCTTTGGAGAAAAATCTGGAACTTTCGCATCTCCCCACCCTGAGTGTTTCATGTCTCAACTTCTGCTCTCACAAAGGCTTTGTACACCACACTACACTCTTGTTTCATTATTCCGCAGCCTTGTTGCCCTATGGTCCACCTCCTGCTGGGAAGGTTAAATGTTAGAGTGCCAAGCCAGGCTGCAAGCATGGTGGGACACTGATGGGAAACAGATGCCCTGGGGACCCGGCCCCTCCCTCCACCAAAGCTACAGCATTTTCGTTTTCTGAAATACTGCAAGGCTTGGCTTCCCTCTCAATGGCAGCTGTAATTTCCAAAGACTATCTCAGCCACCCTATCACTCCGGGATAAAGCAAAGCAGAAGTTTCTCGGGCAGGCAGGCGCTGGTTTTATCTCTTTATTTTCTTCTTGCTGGGATATTGGCTGGTGTTTCCCCCAAAAGGTGTTTTAAATGTATATTTCCATTAAAGTAATGTAACTTTATTACGATTTTATTCCAGAGGGAGAGGCTCATGACATTCTCACAATCCTTTCGAACATCTTTACTTAGCGATAAAGACAAAAGACAACCCCAGGAAAGAAGAAACAAATGGTGTGTCCTTACAGTCCTATACACACGTGCATTTACACATTAGAAAGAAGTTCAGAACAGCAAAATTAGCCAAATTTGCAAAATCTGCACCTAAGAAATCAGTTAAAGACATTGCACTAAAGCAAGTCAAAATTCCAGGCCTCTGCCCTGAGAGCCAGAGCGTCATCTGGTTCAAATCTGCGGCACTTCCCTGCACGGGGTGGAACTGCACCAGCTCCCAGCAGCTCAAATATCTGGAACTTGGGCTGAGGCTTTTAATTCATTCACTTTTTATTTTGTTGGACACTTAGCTCATCATACTCATCAGGACACTCCACTGTAGCTTTGCATGAAATACAGAGATATATATATATACACACACACTCACAATATGCACATATATATAAATCATGATTCATAGGAGCGTTTTTAAGCCTGCAACACTGATGGCCCCACCTGCACTCACCACCCTTGCAACAGCCTGTGGAACATCCATGGCTTTTGAGATATATCAGCAGCACCAAAAGCATCACAGTCACCATCATCCCATTCAGAAACTCTGATAAAACCCAGTCCTAAAGATCAATAAATGTCAATATTCTCTCCCTCGTCAGCCAGAAGCGAGTCACCCAGGCTTGGATGCCAGGGTTTTTGCTCAGGTTGTGATTTCTTTGGGAATAGACAGAATATAGGAATCTCAGGTGTTACCATCACTTAAAAGTTCATTTCAACAATAGATCTTAGGCAGACACAAAACCATATCCACGATGTGTTAACCGTTTTATAAGTCCTAGCCTAAAACTACCCAGGAACACACTTTTCCCATTAGATCTAAATTAATAGATAGAAACAGTTGCAGTCTAGTGGGAAAATATTCATCAAAATGCACATCATCTGCACATCATCTGCAATCTGCATTATCTACCCAATAAGCAGCGAGGACTCTCCCCAAATCCCTGCAGTCTGTCGAGTAAACAGTTAAAGGCTCTTTGTTTTCAAAAGAGAGATTGATTCATCAGATCAAATTTATTACCTAGAATTCTCATCCAAAAATACAGTAAATTAAATCACTCTCTCTCCCTTTTCCCTCCCAGTACCTCAGTTCAATTCACTGGTAAATGCCAGAAAAACTCTAGTACACGTTTCAGATAAAAAGCCAGCAATACTTCATCCCAAAGTAAGAATTTTCATATTAAAACCACTGGAAACCACAAAGTTCCGATTTTTTCTTGCACTGTTGTAAATTAAAATCAAATGTATTCAAAAGAATTGGCACAAATAAATCATTCCCAGTCTTATGAGTTTGTATCCCAAGTTTCAGGTCTGAGAGAATCTTTAAGAGCCAGATTGTGAACAGGGTTGGATAAAGTCATTTGGATCCAGCAACAGCTCCTTGAACCAGTGCCTAAAATTTCAACTGAACCTTTAGGGAAGTTCAAGAAGTTTGGATAGATAGCCTGAAAAGTATTTTTCATCACTGAGTACTTCTTAACTCCTTTCTCTGGATGGAACAGAGTAGGAAATACCATTGTTAATCTATTTTTGGCCAATATGAAAACAGGAAGTAACAGGCATCTTGTGAGAGAGCTTGATCCCATGGGACATCAAGACATTGTTAAGACCCAAGAGTCTGGATGGGTACCAAAGCTCCTGGGTGCCCATATGAACAGGCATTTTGAGGTCCAGTTACCACAAGTCACATTTCCTGCAAGACACATCCAATTTTAACAGCATTTTTAACTGCCCATGTATCATTAAGAGACTGGATTTGTCATTCCAAAAGGAGTAAGGAAACCATGCACTTAC